GTCGATACATGGCGAATCCTGGTAAAGAGCAGTGGAGTGCTGTAAAGAGGATCCGGAGATATGTCAAGGGTACCTCAAATGTTGCATTATGTTATGGAAGATCAGACTTTACTGTGAGAGGCTATTTTGATTCAGATTATGCAGGTGATCTTGACAAAAGCATGTCCACCTCAAGTTATGTGTTTACTCTTGCTGGAGGGGCTGTAAGCTGGGCTTCAAATTTGCAGTCTATCGTGCCTACTTCTACGACGGAGGCAGAATATGTAGCAGCTACACAAGCTAGTAAAGAGGCAATATGGTTGCAAATACTACTGGAGGAGTCCGGACACAAAAAAGAGAAGATTGCTCTATTTTGTGATAGTCAGAGCGCTTTGCATCTAGCAAAGAATCCATCATTTCATTCAAAGACAAAGCACATATGAGTTCAGTAGAATGAAGTGTGGATAGATAGAAATCTATACTAAAGACAATTTAGCTGATATGTTAACAAAGCCAGTCAATAACGACAAATTTATTTAGTGTCGATCCTCTATTGGCCTAGCAGAAATGTAAGCAGCATGAAGATGACAAGTGTAGAAAGGATAGAAGGATTACAAAAGTGACTTTAAGTGGGAGATATATGGTGGTAAAGCTACTTTCTTCTTGGTCAAAATTTTCGACTTAAAGATAAGAGGATAAGATTTCTTCACCATTAAGTATTTGAATTGGTAAAAGAAGGTGGAGAATTTCTACTTGAATTCTCCACTCCACCTCCTTGTTTTCACCTCCATTCTCCTCTATATATACATGGTTTCCTTCCTCTAACGATCTATCCCATTTTTAAGATTAAAGACATAGAGAAAGAGTATTTTTAGAGAGAAAAAATAGTGAGATTTTTCCTAAATATTGTCTTTCCTTTTACTAGCGAGAGTGTATTTTTTTTCTCCTATTATAAGAGAGGGTATTGTCAATTGCGCTCTCTTTATTTTAGAGAGAAATTCTTGTAATTTTTTTCTATAGTGAAATCTTTCTACAATTTGCCAGTGGTTTGTCCACGTAAAATTCTGGTGTTCATTATCTTTCATTTCTACTTCAATTGTAATTGTGTGCCCCATACCACAACATTCTAACAGTGGTATCAGAGTGCCGAGTTTATAGCAGATTTTTCGTGCTACAGTCAGATCCAGTTAGTAGAAAGGAGGCATCTTCAATAATGGCGACGAAGTACGACATAGAGAAGTTCAATGGGAGTAATTTCTCATTGTGTAAAATGAGAATAAAAATAGTTTTGAGAAAAGATATATGCTACAGCAATTGGAGATAGGCCCGATCAGATCACTGACGACGGCAAGTGGTACGAGATGGATGGCAATGCTATTGCTAATCTGCACCTAACACTACCCAATGGAGTATTGTCAAGTGTGGAAGAGAAAATAACGGCAAAAGAGATATGGGATACTCTGACAAAATTGTACGAGGCCAAATCCCTACACAACACTAATGAGGCTCGACAAATGGAGCTTGCCTAGTTTGAAATTGAAATAGTCTTTTTCTTAGCCTCCGTTTATTTCTCATTTTTCATCCATAAAAATAAAAAAATATGATCGTTATNGAAAAGTCGACCCGTCCAAAAAAAATTCGAACACAGATGTACGAACAAGACAAACCATCGATTACAACAAATTGTTTGTTTAGTGTTTCATTGATCATGCTTAAAAGTTAATTTTAAAAAAATGTTTAGCCTACGTTTGTTTCTCATTTTTCATTTATAAAAATGAAAAATATAATCGTTATCTATCACATCAAGCCATCATTTTTGAATTTCTATCTCTTGTAAGCGCCAATAACGGTTATATTTTTCATTCTCATTCTACAATAATGAGAATCAAACGGGCCCTTAATAATTGTATAGATTCATTCGTAAATGTTCTTGTACATAGGTTCGTTTCCTTTTGGTTTTCTCCTTCGTAAACTCCGCAGAGTAAGGTCCTAGGTACCCTCCTTGTATTAATTTTCAAATGAATAAAACTTGGGTAGGATTACATTGCCACTAAACTATATATTTCTAGTTGGCCTTCGATTTCCAATGTCTACCAAATGAACTATTTGTCATCAAATGGCAGTACCCAACAATTATTAGAATTTTCCTTTGCATTTAGAGAACAAGAATGAGAAAACAACACACTTAGACGGAACATAGTGCCATAAAAACAATAGTGACATTGGGTTGGTAAAAAAAAGAAATAAACATATTTATCTCAACTAAAAAAGAACCCTGAAAACGAAACGTACCTTGAGTGGGGAAAGGTTGTTCTCGAAACAAATAGAAGTGCAGCTGGTGTAACAACAGTGGAGGCTTTCATATTGCTTAACTGTTTCGGGCGAGTTAAAGATTTAGGGTGTTTAGTAAATGGATTGTAAATCTGTGCGGCAGTAAGAAAAATCTGAGAAATATGGAGTATGGAAGATTAGGATATGTCGCCTTGTTGAAATATGGAGTATGGAAGATTAGGATATGTCGCTGGGGACAAAACTTCTCCAGTCCAAACTAAAGTCGCAAGCCCGTTTTAAAGCTTAGCAGAACGTTTGTTTCAAAAGTTCATAGTTGTGCTGGCAACACGCGCACGAATCAGGCACGAGCAGGAGCTCGAGTTGGCTTCGCTTTCGAAGGTAAGGATGAACGTATTTAAGGCGAGGCAAAAGTCTTCATTATTATTATTATTATTATTTTTTTCTCTCTTTTCATTTTTTCTTTCCTCTGCCCAATTTATTTCATTTTTTGACGGAATTGAGAGTTGACTGTTTTGAGATAAAAACTGATCACTTCTAGTTGAACTGTTGAACTAAGAAATGAAGCTTCAATTTTATTTTATTTTTTGTTTCAATTCATGCCCTTAAAGGATAGAATTTCACAAGAATTTGATCACTGGATAGTCAAGTTCTATTTATTTTTTTCCTTTTCAGATAACCATGGGCCGAAAATAATTCGTGACACGAACATACCTGTGTGGCCCGGGCCAATGCCTCAAAATGGGCTCGGCCCGAGCAACGAGCCGGGCTAACTCATGGGAGAGCGAAATTTGACACTTTAGATCAACTCGGTTAGCAAATGAAAATATCGTACATTTTACGTAATTTTTCAGTCATTTAAACTATCTATTTGTACAATCTTACTCGTGTTTTTCTAATTATTAAAAATTACATAGATCTCGTTGGATATTTACTAGCACAACAATGTGTCCGTTTGACATGACTTTTGAAAAGTCAAAATGAGCTTTTAAAACTCAAAAGTTGCTTCTGATCGTTAGAAAATCTTTTAGAGGAAGTTGGTTCATCGTGCTTTCTTTAAAAGCAAGTGCCTTTAAAAATTAATTTTTAAACAAAAAATAAGATAGATTCCTTTAAAAACTCTTCTGCAGAAAATAAAA